TTCCTGACAGTTCTGGCGGCCAGTCTCAAATTCTTTCTACTAGAAGCATCTGCCGAAAAACCGATGTCGGTAGCGACAAAAACTAGAGGGAACTCTGCAAAAAACGCATCTTCGCACGGGCAGCCCGTGCGTTGGCCAATTTTTTTTAACTAATCGTCAAGCGCCGTACCAAAAAGGTTCAGTTGCGGTACGGAATAGGAATGTCTACTACTCGACGGACCAAAGCGCTCCCATTCATTCAGTTTTTTAATATGATTTCGTATTTTCTTTCGCGTGTATAATAATCAATAGCTCTGTTATTACCCATAAATATCAAAATTCTTCCTCATTTTAGAAACAATTTAAAATAATGCATCGAAACTCAATCAAATAAAAATGGGCTGCTTCCAGTGCAACACTTTTTATTTCAGCTTCATCAAATTCGCACGTGAATGTGAGTAGTTTGAAAACAGTCTAAAACAATTTCATCATTTTGTGAACACTTGATTATCAGAGATAAGTGCTGCATCCCAGCAGTAAGGGTATTCGCTACAGTGTCCCGGCACAGTTGTCACACTGCCCCAACCTGGCCCTGAAAATGCCACATTTTACACCACGAATCTCAGTGATGATAGTAGAAGCAAACAAAGTTTTAGCTGAACATTCCCAATTTTGAAAACTTCAAAGCGGAGAGTGTGAAACAAACAAAAATAACAAATTACCCATAATGCGACGTATTTCTACCGGACTTTCGTCTTTCGGTACATCCGACGGCGGATTCTCTGCAAAAAGCTGGATCTCACAAATCGACTCAAACTGCAACAAACAACGTCCTGTGTTTGTAGCTGTTGGACCAAAGTTCCAACTGTTTTTTGCCCCCTGTAGCAATTCATTTCTGTATTTACGGCGATTTCACTGCTTGCCTTTTTAAATGCAGCAATAGCATGACGGCAAAACCTGTATGTGTATGGCGCATATGAGTGCTAATGTGTTTATGTATATGTATGCATTTGTGTGAACATAAGCCCTGCTAAGAAACCTGAAATTTCATGGCCGCTATGAAAGTCGAATGTATTTGAAATGAATACTGACATGTGCTTTCCTTGCCCAATTCAATTTTACGTGTAACTAATTTCAGGA